CAAAAAAAAAAAATAAAATAAAAAAATTAGCCCAAAACCCCGAAGACGTTCTTTTTTCCCCATGCACCTGTGGTTGTTTTCATCAATTCCTCAAAGTGGGTTTGCACTGACAATATGAAGAATATCATTTTGAACTGATCCATCACTCAAGCGAACGTAGAACTTTTTATGATGTGTGGAAAGTATTGGTGGCCTTTTCTTCTTCATTTTACCACCTCGCGCACCAGCTTTATGTTCTGAATAGCTGAAGCTTTTAAGTTTTTATGTCCGTCTTTTCATGGACAGTGTTGCGTAAATGGTGTGCGCGTCAATGTTGTCATTGTGGCTTTTACTGCCGAGACATGTGAACGAAATATGGCGCCCAATGCTATTTCTGTCCAAGACGTGTGTGTGTGTATGTGTCTGTCTGTCTGTCTGTCTGTATTTCTGTTTGCCTGTCTGCCTGTCTGTCTCTCTCTCTCTTTCTTTACTCTCCCTCCCTCTCTCTCTCACTCTCTCTCTTTCTCTCTCACTCTCTCTCTCTCTGTCGCTCGGATCCCTCTCCTCCTCTCTCTCCCGCCCCCTCTCTCTCTCTGCCTGTGTGTGTGTGTGTTTTAGTACGTGTGTATACAGTCGAACCTGCCATGACGGCTACCTGTATAAACGGCAATTTTCCATTTGCATGCTTGCATTTTTTCTTTATAAAAGCACTGTGTAAAACAATAACCTGTCCAACGCGGCAGCGGCTGCTATTATATTAACCAACAACCCCCCAAAAAACGTGTCTTAAATGACCACAAAATCTTTTATCGCCCAATGCATTATATAAATTATACAGTGGCGTCCTAAAGAAACTTGAAAATGCATTCGTCAAATTAATGTCTTGCACTACCCACTCATGCAGGATACCAATTTAAAACTAAATAAATTCTGCGTCATCCACACACTGATATTGCATCCGCGATAAGAGTTGCCTAAGATACACATGTATTGTGGTCACTCAAAATTAACCTTTTAAAACCAGACTTGCAAAATGGACAGGCAATCAAAGAAACTTGTGTTTCCGCGTCTATGTATTTGGGTGCCCCAGCATTGGTGAAATAGACATATATTGAATATCACATGAATGGAGTATATTATTGTCCCTGCAATGAACAATACTTTAATTACTGTAATTTCAAACAGATTGGAAAACAGACCAGTCACAACACGCAATACTTGAACTTGAATTATAACATTACATTTGCTCATTTGTAATTTTGCTTAGGAACCATTAGTTTTCATGTAAAGCACGAACCCTTCTTTGCCATGAACTGTGTTAGATTTTTGACATAGTCATAGGTCAGTGAGGAATAAAGGCCACGTACTTCACATGGTTTGGGATGGTTTGGCTGGAATGAACGAAACTCCATAGAAGTATTCAATTTATACACACTCACATACACTCACACACACACGCACGCACACTCACATAATATACAATAGTCTCCGCATAAGATTGCGGTGCTTGGGAGCAAAGAAAATGCCTATCGTGAGTCTCGAGATTTTTATCTCTACGTTCCAGTTGCCCCTCCCCTTTACCCTTTCCAAAAATTTTAGCCTTCCATCTCTGATTGAGTCCCCCCACCTTTGTCGTTATGCACCATTACCTTGTGACCACACCTATTAAAATTCAGGCTGTCTACAAATTCGGGAATAGAGAAAAACTGCCTTCAATGGTCAGGGAAGAGTTCACAGTTTGATGGGATCCTGCCTGGAGCGAACTTGTAGGCCCTACCGCCCCTACCCACCCAGCGAGTGATCAGTGATGTGTAAGTTTAGGTGGCGAGCTCAGATGCGAGTGCGATGTTTGGGGAAAAGAAACGCATATGGGTCAGTTCACACCTCGGTGTGATCCCGTGTGGGGCAAACATTGTGCCGTTTCATGGATTTTTACAACGCTGGTGTGATCACATCCGCGAGAGTGGCTGATCTTTATAATCGCGACGCGCTGTTCTTTGATCTCAACAACTCTTGGTTGGTCGGCTGTGCCCGCCCGGGTGTTTGTTCCGTAAATTATGATCAGAAATGCCGGCACTTACTCTAACCTTCAAAAGTACTGTACTCAAAATGTACTTTAAAAATACTCAAAAAAATACTTTTATAAAAAGTATCGGAGTAGAGTACTGGTTCTCAAAAGTGTACCGGAGCACAGTAAAAGTACCGACAATTGTAACGTAAGTACAGGTACCGGAGTACTTGTACTCCGTTACAACCAGCTCTGGGAATATGTGTAGCTTTCACTGGCCTGGTAGTGTAACTTTTGCTCTTTGTGGGAGGCATCTTATTCTTGTACCTGACCTCCCTCCGTTTTTTTAGAACATTTCCAAATCCAGCATTCCAACTTCAAGTGGTACCCCCACGCTCAACGAAAAAATCCTTGTCAACAAACCGTGTGCAAGATGTTGATGAAATGGAAGAGTTTCTGGCGAGGGACAAGTTTATTTCTGATACTACGTAGTCTTTTACAGGGATAATAATTTAATAATAAGGGTTTGAAATTAACACCATGCAGATCCTTTCCTTTTAAAGGGATTCATCGACTGCTGGCGTCAATATGCTTCTAATGCTTTCATTTCACACAGATATCATAAGCTTAGCACACCATCTGCACAGGAAAAATAACTACTGTGACTGTGTTTAAAGTAAGATTTTCTTACCTTAATTGTGTTTGAACTTTTCCCTTTCTAAGGAAAGTTCTGTAGAATTTTGCTCCTTTTTAAAAACAAAATTGTTTCATTTTAACATGCTGGACTAAAAAAAAATGTTTGGTTGCCACAGCTTATTTGAAACGCCGCGTTCTGAATAGTTCCCGTGCTATTTGACACGCCAGTACTAGTAGTAGTAGCCATCGTTTCTATTAACCTACTTTTCATCGCTCCACTGCCTGAATTGTGGAAGTTTTCTCAGTTTCTGGATTAAACCTCCTAGGATTTGACTCAATTTTTATAACGTTTTCTTAATCCGATCAATATTGGGTAGATCTAGATCTAACAGTTGTTTTTGACATCGTTTGCATAAAGTAGTCTAGTTCATCTCTCATAATCATCACATTATAATAATTTGAGTTTGAGCAAGTTAAGTCCCAAGGCGCTTGGATAACAATAACAAGACGGTGGAACTCGGTAGGCCCCGTTTCCTGTCCGCATTGTCGCCATAGCATAGATTCTCTTCTACTACCAAGATCTCTCTCTCTCTCTCTTTCTCTTTCTCTTTCTCTCTCTCTCTCTCTCTCTCTCTCTCTCTCTCTCTCTCTCTCTCTCTCTCACACTGCCCGCAGGCAAAAGTGCACGTTTTCAACTCAAGAGTGCTGGAACATTTGTGTACACTTATATCACGGGCCGTCACGCGCTAACACAAGGTTGCACCCAAGTCTTTGCAATAAAGACTGGAATAAAGCCCGAAAAAACACGCACACACACTCTCCACACTTACACCTACACACTTACAAACTACATACAGACACACGCACTCACACACACTGACACACACGCGCGCGCACACACACAAAGAGATAGGGCAATTGAAACATCTTGGTAGTAAAGACTCTTTGGCCATGGTCTACCTAAAAATATCTATGCGTGCAATTTACTGCCCCCCGCCCCCCCACCCACCACCACCAGGGGCAGTGCTACTGACTGAAGTCGTCTTTAGGCCATTCCTAAAGGGAGGGGGGGGGGGGTTATTAAATATTAACATGTTTTTATGCACATTGTAAATGGACTGATTTATCAATGTCATGCTCATACTGCCTCATACTGTGCCGGAACAACATGGGGAGGAAGTACTGCTTTTTCTATCCTCATCCTTACTATCGTCTATTCATTTTCCTCTACTTCTCATGTATGTTTGTCACTTTCATAGGAACTGCTGTTTCCGGGGTGCCTTGATAGTCGAAGTAGACTTTGTGCTATTAGGC